TTTTAGCTATCACGCACACATTTACAAATTTGGTATTCGAAATGTGAAACATTTTTCATTTGTTAGAGCGGAATTCCTACTTTTATAGGAATTCTGTGCGTTAAAGCGAGTAAGAAATATGGCAGTTTTTATGACAGTAGGCTTTGTCGCAAAATGTCACATTTGATAAAAAAATTTTATAATTTTATAGATATTTCAAATTTCATTTTATGTTCCCGTTGCCGTTGCCGTCGACTTTGCATCATTATTTTTAAGGTATGTACATACATATGTAAATTACTTAACTTGTGCATTTTAATTGATTTTCTCGTTATTACAGATTTGCAACAATTAAAATTAAAACCCACCATCATCTTTAATGCCGTCACCAGCTGATATCGCAAGCACCTCCTCCATCACCTTTAATGCCACCACCAACATCGTACCATCACCTTCAACACCGGTACCAGAAGTATTGCCACCATCATCGTTCAACACCGGCACCAGCAAATACGCACCATCAACATTCCACGCCTCTACCAGCAAAATCACCTTCAGCATCGCCACTATTACTTTAAGGCCACCACCAACATCACCTTCAACGCCTGCACCAGCAATGTTGTACACATCCACATCAATGGTCCTCTGCAATAATTATTCAAATATGCAATAACAATTCAAAATTCAAAAAATAAAAACTGTTAAGTCGCTCTTGTCTGTAATCCTCGTCTAATCCATTTCCAACCTTTTATAAAGTAAGCAGTAAGGATTGCTAAAGTAAGTACTAAATATTAGACATGGATTCGACATGGATTAGATAGATATATGAGCCACTTAACAGTAGTAAGGGTTTTGTTTTTTGAATTTTGAATTGTGTCGTTGTTGCACAGGACCATCGATATGTACAAAGTATGTTATTTGTTTGCACATATGTACTATAAGAGTTTTGTATTAATAAACGTTTTTTAAATAAACCAATTCATTTTTAGAAGTAAAAATTTTGATTTTCTACTTATTTGTTTTTTCCTGTACTGAAGAGTTTATAACGACAAAAATGAGTAGTTTGATTATTAGTGCTGAGGAGTTTATAACGACAAAAATGAGAAGTTTGATGATTAGTGCTGAGGAGTTTATAACGACAAAAATGAGTAGTTTGATTATTAGTGCTGAGGAGTTTATAACGACAACAATGAGTAGTTTGTTTATTAGCACTGAGGACATGCTAATGACAACAATGAGTACTTTATTCATTAGCACTGATGTGTTTATAAAAACGAAAATAAGCAGTTTGGTAGTTTCTAGAGCAGAGCAGATACATTTTCATTAATCAAAGTTTTCAATTAGTAAGAAGAGGTAAAATATTACACCAACAAGGGGAAAGTGCTCAGTTTTATCCCATCGCCTGAACAAAAATGAGTATTTTAATAAGCACTTTTGTAATTAGTGATAATGATAAAATGAGCACTTATTTGATGCTCAGCTGTCTTGCAGGGATGTATTTTCAATTCGAAATTAAAGAAAAAACATCCCACGAAAATGTTTACAATGGCAAATCCTATATATATGCAAACTAATGCAAAGAATGGAGTGTCATATCTCAAAAGGTTAGGAGAATTAACGAAACAAACATTTTATGGTCTTATGTTTCCTTCAAACCGCATTGCTATTTTTTCTAACTCTTCCTTTTGTTTATCGCTGTAACCGCTTAAGTTATATTATTTAATTTATACATGTGAGTTATTTTCAATGAGCATTTTTTCATTTGCTCCTGAAATTTGGGTACATTTTCTTATAGTATCTCTCATTCTTTTTTATATTACATATATACACTCCGCTGTTCGCGGTCGCTCCTCTATTGGGAATAGTAAACCTCCGAGTGTATTCTGTCATGAAAACAGGTTCTCATAAAAATACAATTGCCGTTCGGAGTCGGCGTAAAACTGCCCTTCCCCTTTGTGTCACAAAATCAAGGCGCACGCCCCATATGGGAGGAGAAGCTAGGCCAAACACTAACATATTATGCAAGCGCAAATCTGTATATCGTCGTTTAAAGTAAAAAATCGCGTATCGTGGTTCTGCAAAACCACGTAACTGACATTTGTGCCAAAAAAGATATTTGCTCACCGGAAGCTCCTATCGTCAAGCCCTTAATCATTTTTACTAAAATTTCGATACTCAGACATAAGAAGAGATAATTAAGTTTAAAAGAGAGAACGGTTTTGAATCCTCACATACAAGGTTTTGCATTTTCTTCATGCGCGGTTTTGTACTTTAAATGACGATATGTAAAAGTATTGCATACATATTTTAGTGCCTTTACAAGTATAAAATCCATTGAGAAACGAAAAAAAAACGGCATCCCTATGATTTCAACTTATGCGAAACGTTTTTAGTATGAAAGACAAACAACGTAAACAAGCAATTTCTGAACAAAAAACTGTTTATCCACAAAGATGTCTGAATGGAAGCATTACACATTTGAAAAAATAGCAAACCGCATGGCTTTATTGGCAGTAGGTCCTCTTTAAAGCACATTAAAAATCAAATAAGCTTCTAGTTTCGAAGTTAGCACAAAATGAAATTTTGTTGCTTGTTGTTTACAAAAAGAATACTTGCCAAGTATATAAGTCAAAAATGTTAAACATATATCGCTTTTACTCATTTTTTTTTATAGAGTTGGTGCTTCTTTTATAGGAAAATTCATACGGCTTATGATCAGATTCATACCATGTAAATGCACCATTAGGTTATTAATTTTAAAATATTAAAATATATTTAAACAACTGAATCTTTTAACACTAAAAAATAATGAAAAACAGGTTGATAGAAAATGTTCTAAGCAGACATTAAAAGAACAAAATCATATAGAGGAAATGTGGTAAGAGTTTATAAATCTGCAACAGCTTTATTTTGAAATTGGCTGATTACTGGTACTGAAACAAGACGAACTAAGGAAGAAAACTGCATTTACAAATTAGGAAAATATCAACAACAAAAAGAGTTAGACGGTTTTTTGTCCCTCCTGAAAAATAAAAAAATGGACTTAGCACGTTTCCGCACTATGCCAACGATATGCATTCAGAGAAAAAAGTTTTTAACAAGAAGTAAAAAATCGCGAATTTTATAGTCGTTTGTTATGTAAAATAACTCACAGAATCTGAATATGAGGTCAAAAATAAAAAAAGTAGAATAAAATAATCAGTTCTGATTATCACACCGCATAAAGCTCACCACCAGATTTAAGGTCTTCGAAATCCCTATGAACTTGATATGCAATGTTTTGCAATCAAATTATCAGTTAAGAGCAATCTGCAAATTTATGGGTGAAATCGGACACAATTTTAATTTGCATCGTTATTCTACCGTGAATTACACCTAAAAGCAGCACAATTTTTGTTCTTATTTTTATGCGATATTAATTTCAAAGTATACAGATCCAAATCTTTTGCAAGTCGATTTGAATATAGACAGTAATTTTTAAGCAAAAAAACCAAAACCGACTTTAATTCTCATATAAAAATTTAAGATTATCGTTAATATCTTCACGATCCAATTATCGGATCTAAACAAGTATGTATAGGACCACCCCTGAGGTACCACCTTTCCGATGAAAACAGAGTTATCGAAATCGGTTAACGTGGTGGATTAAAGCAACGTGTCGTTATTGCACACATTTAGTCGTAAAATCAATTAACATATCATTTCCATTGGCATGATTGTGCCCATCGCAATTAGAAAAACAGCTGCCAATAGTTCTGTTTTATTAAGCAATTATTTGTAATATTTTGTAACAATTGTTACGATTTATCATACCTTAGCTGGAAAAAAGTTGATATAAGATAAATTGATAGAGCAAAATAAGAGTTGATTTTTTAGATAAAGTTGAAAGTTTCTACTGGATAAATTTATACTTGTATATAAAATAAATTATATATGTATTACTAGTAAAAATATTGTATGGGGGAAAAATTTGTCACGTCCGTTATCACATTTTCATTCAAAATTAATCCAACAACGAATTGCTTCTGATTAAAAATTAATTGGTTATAATGGTCCGTAATTTAACTTTATTTACAGAATGTTTAAGGAAGGAAAATCTCACAGGATTCCAAGAGTTTTGATTATTTTTACATGTACTCTGAAACCATTTCTGTTTTTGTCATGTCTGTTATGACCTCGTTTTCGTCGATTTTTCCAACACCAGGGTTCCAATCGCACCTAATTTTTTTGTCAACCAAAGGACGGTTTAAAAGCTACACAGGGGCAATTTTTTTATAAGTGACTTCCGTTTTCGTATGATATATTTAACGAATGTAAAGTCCGACATATTTTGGAAATACCCATATGTTAATTTGAACATTTAAAAAAAAAAAACTGATAATTTAACAGCCTCATGTATCAAGTTAAGTAATCAAAACTATTTTTTTATTTGTATCCGCCCTGATTTTAAGTGAAAGTGTTGTTATGTGAAATTACACCTTATATGGAGGGAAGGCGAAAAAGTGGACTAGTTTTTATTGTCCAATGCATTGTTGATATCTGCATTGTTCTTGCAATATTTCATCGACATTGCTACCTTTGTTTGGCCGTTATTACTTATGGCATCCTAAAAATGATGCGTCGTTTCCAATGTGTTTCAAGCTTATGTCTAAGTTCCGCTCGCTAAAGAAAAATTTTTATGTGAAAGCAACAACAAAGTTAGCTACATAGTAGCGATGATCGATGGCGAATTTAGTTGTAGCTCATTGATTTCGTTCATTTCGCCACTCGGCGAATCGATGGCGGCTAATATTGCAAGATTACTTCTTCCAAGTGTTTTTTCAGGGTCTTGACCAATACGTTAAATAAAATTAATTTAGCTATAGAAAAATAGAACCTCTACTTGAGTCTTTGTGCTGGTGTGGCAGATTATTGCAATTTAAAAGATTTTATTTTCAAGCCTCCTACATATGTATATGCATTAAGAACTATTTTATAGTCATAATTTATTGTTTACTAATAACCAAAATGTCTTTTCATAGGTGAACACATTGAAGATAAGCCTCACAAGCGTAATTCAGTCCGCTTAACCATACGAAAAGTGATGTACGCACCGTCAAAGGTGGGCGAGCAGCCATCCATCGAAGTGAGCAAAGAGTTCATGATGAAGCCTAATAAAATCCACCTAGAAGCAAGTTTGGACAAGGAGTTATACCACCACGGCGAAAAAATTTCTGTCAATGTACACGTAGCCAACAATTCAAATCGCACTGTCAAGAAGATCAAAGTGTGTGTGCGTCAATTCGCTGACATTTGTCTTTTTTCTACGGCGCAATATAAATCCGTGGTGGCGGAAACTGAATCGGAAGATGGTTGCCAGGTACTGCCTGGCTTTACGCTTTCTAAAGTATTTGAACTATGCCCACTGCTCGCCGACAACAAGGACAAATGGGGGCTCGCGCTCGACGGCCAGTTGAAGCACGAAGATACGAATTTGGCGTCTAGTACGCTCATAACGAATCCGGCACAACGCGAAAGTCTTGGTATTATTGTTCACTACAAAGTGAAAGTTAAACTGCTGATTAGCGGTCCGCTGCTAGGTGGTGATTTAGTTGCAGAATTGCCATTTACCTTGATGCATCCAAAGCCAGAGGAGGAAGATAATGCACTCTTAATGGATAAATCACCGCGTCAGAGCATACGTGACCCTGAGTTGTTATCAAGGGGTGGTGGTTGCGATGGTGGTGCAGGTGAATTGCATCAAGCCGAGGTGCCCACCACGAATTTGATACAATTGGATGAAGACGATGCCCAAGACGATGACATAATCTTTGAAGATTTTGCGCGTCTTCGGCTGAAGGGAGCCGAAACTGAAGCCTAGGCAACGGGCATTCTCCACTGGCGTTGCGTTGATACGACATTGGCCATTTAGTGTGCTGAATAATATCATAATGTAAATTTCTTTGGATGACGTAATTTGACTATGTGTGAATTCAAGATTAGGTCTCCGTTTTAAAAATTTGTATCCTTGATATTCACTAACCAATTCTTATTTATTTTGTATGTACAGTAGAAAAAATTAAATTGGTGGTGCAAAAAATATAAAACAATATATACTAAAACAAGCTAAATATCCGTTGGAAACTAAGTTAAGTGTTTAAGTTGAAAATGTAATAATTGTGCAAATCGAATGTTTAACATCTATTTGACCGTTGAGAGAATTGTGGATGCTAAGTTATTACTGCAACAAATACTGAGCTGAAAAATTATTAGAATTGAGCAATTAGCGTTGGGGGAAATTAAACGAAAAACTAAACTATCATCGCGCAAAACAGAAAATATGCATTTTAATTGTATTTACTATTTTATAATATCTTATAATTTTTGAAACTTCATTTGTAAGCTGTTACGTACATGCATATATATATATACATATATATACATATATATACATATGTATAAAAAATATGGTTAATTTTACTTTTTCTATAAGCTACGACAATTCGCAATTTTATAAAACATTTCTTTTCAGTTTAGTTTTTAATTCATCTTTAATGAACGGTTTGTGTAAAATATATTTATTTCTGTGGAAATCGAAGGTACTACACATTAATGTGGGTATGCCCCAGCAACAATATAAGCTTTAATTGTAAAAAATGTATACCTGTTTAAGGATTGAGAATGAAACGAGGAAAGAAATTAAAAAGTAGAAACGATATAAACAATTATATAATGTGTTGTATTTAAACAAACTCAAACAAAAATACGCTTGCGTAATCCGAAAATATGTATGTATTTAATTTAAAATAAATATATGTATGTAGGTACCATTATTGCGCTTATGTATTTGTAAAGTTTTAAATGGCGAAATGTAAAATAAATATTTGTTTTTATGTCACAATGCACTGCACATACACAAAATACATACGTTGTTGTAGTTTCTAATTTTTACAGCTTTAGCTTTGCATTCAGGCTTAAGGAAAAATACAATAATTTGATGAAATTGCAATCTAGGGCTGATTAAAAATTTGTCTGGTTAGCTTCCCTAACATTTTACTTTACTAATTTTTCCCTTTTTGTCATAAAGAATATATGGGACTTGTTCGAGATGCAATCACAACTGCAGTGTTGCGCGAATTGTTAATTTATCACGTACGGTGTGATTTTCTAGCAACGATTTATCAGTTTAACATTATTGTAGCTGCAGTATTGCCGTTTTTATTTCGTGCCTCGAACAGGCCCATACTTGCATGTACCGATTCATACTACACTACAAGGACCACAAACTGATATTTTACAGGAGTACAGAAGAATTTACATCTTCCTTATATTGCTGGAAGGTTTCACATACTACCTATTAATGTACATATCGTCGTTTAAAGTACAAAACCGCGTATCGTCATTCTGCAAAACCGCGTAACTGCCAAAAATTGGATTTGCTCACACAAGCTCTTGGCTCAATCCTTATCCATTCGTCCTGAAATATACTAGGCAAATATGCGATTGCTTTACAAAAAAAGAGAACCATTTTAAAATATGAGTATTTGTACGCTCTAGAAAATAATTTCTACAACTTCACATACGCGGTTTGCATTTTGCTCATACGCGGTTTTGCATTTTGTTGATACGCGGTTTTGCACTTTAAACGACGATATGTATGTACATTAGACCTTATCATGATATATACATATAAATATGTACATGCCATAAATAAATACTAAAGCGCCAATTGATTTTGGGGACTTAATATATGAGAACTTCTGAAAAATGGCACGAATGTTGCGAACTCCATTATAAATGAAATGTAAAAAGTCATCATCGATGCCATATCTGCAAAAAAATTATTCAAGGTCAAAAAAATGGGCTTTTTATATTTTCAGCCAGGGTTTATAATAAAAATAGGTTACGCAAAAGTGTAGACCATGCAATTATCTATAAAAACTGTTGTGAACTTTTGTTCCTAAGAATTACCATTTCTGAGATATAGCGATTAAAAAATCTGTGTTCCCCATTATATACACAATTTCCACTCTATTTATGAGGTAGTGTACTTGGCAGGTTTTTATAACGTGGGCTCTGCGGTAGCGGCGTGAATTAAAAGTACTTAGAGAAAGCTATTCATATAATTAATAATTACACTAGTTTACAAGAAATCCGACCTTTGGCACTTGGATCATAATCCATAATCTATCATATAAAATTTTCAATTGAATCCGAATATAAAGCCAAAACATAAAAAAAAAATAGTTTTTGAGGTACACAGGCAGGTTCTGCAATTCACTTCAAATTTAATTCAAATTGAATGGGGTGGTAATTCACTCGGAAGTGAATTACAGAACCTGCCTGATAGTCCAATTTCAGTTTTTTTGAGATATAAAAAAGTGCCCACACTTAATTGCAATCTGTTTTTGGATGTAGCTGGCTAGTCTAAAATTTTCTTTTACAATAGTAACAGCCGATTTCTCTGTGAATGCTTAATTATAATCAAAAGATTATATCTTCTTGTTAGTTTCTCAGTGTACTTAATGGATGATTTACTCATACTAATTATTTAACTTATAGTTATTTATCAACTGAGAAATCGGCTGTAAAGCTTAATAAATTTGCTCTCGTCTATATAAAGGATATTTTCCAACCGGATTAGTAGTTTAGGAGCTAATTGATTTATCAACAATTTTGTTAAAAAAAATTAAAATTAAAAAAAGCAAAGTTTAGTTTAGATACAAATTTCAAGAGAAACAAATTTGTAGGCTTGCGGAATCTTGGACGTCAAAGTAGGATCTTTTGTAAATACAATACCCCGTTTACCTTAATTTAATCATAAAGAAGAAGTTATGAGCACTTAAGTAAAGATGCATACAAAAGTTTCCATACACATTTATGTTTTGTAAGCTTCCGCCTATTTTTATATTATTGCAACGCTTATCAACTTGTAATGTTGTCTGTCCAGACACCATTCATTGCCATAAGACCTTTGCTTTGCAAAGATCCTATAGAAGTCTACACACCAACCTCGTCGCCTGGTATCATATCAAAACTATAGGTAGATGACGCCTCGCCGCAAGTAGTTATATATCGCGCCTAAAAATATGAATAACGATCGCTTAAAATCGATATCAAATTTTGTACTTGCGCTGTAGACATTTTTGGTCTATGTTATGTAGTTTGACACTTGTCAATTAAATCTAATTCTTTGTACTGCATGCGTTCAACGTTTTAGTTTTCAATATCATAAATTGTTTATAATGACTTACTAAAATTTCAAAATCAAAAGTTATCAAAACATATTTTATGTGACTGAGAAATATTATTTTCTACTTTTTATATTAAAAAGTTTTTATTTTATTTTATTTATTTTGAGCTAACTTGACTGGGTTATTATAGGATTTTCGACTTGTACACGTGTAACCGTTCTAAAAGTGACAAAAAAGTCTGTATACGACCTGGCTAAGGATTTTATGTGGTAGCATAATAACTTTTAATAACAAATAGTTTCATGTTTTAATAAGTTTACAACCTTTTTCGAATTTTCGTGGAAACTTAGAATATGCTAAATCGGACTACGGGATTCAAGAAGTTTCCTGATTCTAACATAAAATTTCATCATGGTTAAATATAAAATTTTTTTTAGATCTTCTTCATGGTGAGGAGAAAAAACATCTGAACATTATAAAAACGAAATAATCAGCCCTATTCTGCATTTCGATTACATTCTCGCATTCCGCTCCGCAAGAATCGAACTTAGGTATTCTGAGTTACGATCGAATCGAAAGAAGAAGAGGAAGAGAGAAAACATCTTTCGAAATCAGCTGTTTGCCTAGGAATGTGTGAAATCGAAACAAAACAAAGAAATTTTGCCACCAAACTATAGCAGCTTATGAAGTTAAAGTTTGTAAATATTTTAAAATAGCTAAATATATCTAGCATCACTGTAATTTAAAAATAAAATATCGTTTGCTCTTAATTTAAGTGGAAACATAATTATAAAAATTAAATCCATAGCCGCGATGTTATTGCTTGAAAAAGAGAACGAGTCCCAGATTGCTGATGCGGGAGTTGGAAGGCGGAGATTTAGGGACATGTTTGATGATCTTTTTCAGATAAGTGAAGAGTCATAAGAAATTCATCTTGAACTGTATTACTCACCGCCCAAAGCCAGTGAAATTATAAACGTTGTTTGAGCACTCCACAACATTTTCATTTACTACAGATGTGAAGATTCTGGAGTTGATTCGAATAATTAAGATATTTTTGGGATATGGCCTAATGTACATACAGTAGCTCAATGCATTGCAGGCTGTAATCTGGACAATGGGTAGTCTCATTTATTTTAGCATTTATGTATTACAACATCACACTAACGATTACTCCTAAACTTTGCATTCCGTCATTGGAGTCCATGCCAATTTGGTTGTACAACGTGCAAATAATATAGAGTGCATATTATATAGTGTTAGTTACGCGACAGTTTCATTGGGTAATGAGCTGAATTGAGTTTTATGGGTCTGAACATTGTTCTCTACATTTGCACTGCTTTAGAATCTTCAAATCGCAGTGTGGACAGCAATAGTTAGTGATGTGGTTAAGTTCAATTTGAGGTGGATAACTTTTTGGTGGAGACAATAATCTTTTTTAAAATGGTTGGAGCAAATTCTTGAATTGAGACTAACCTCTGCTCCGCAGAAGATAAACCCAAAACTTTGTTTGGTCTTCATTTTCGGGAATTGGTTAAACATGTATATTTGAACCTAAGAAAACATTCATCAGTATCACTCTCGAGTATTGTTCATATTTTTGCTCACAACTACCCCTTGCACACTTCATGCTCGGTTCGAATTTTTAAACGTGATTTTTTGGAAATTTATGGATCCGCCACTTCTGAAACGCATTGCATTTTGTGGAAATAATATTTCTAAATTTATTTTATTTAATACTCGTTCTTTATAAACATTATTTCACTTTTTTGACTTTATTTTCACATCCCATTCGTTGTGAAGAAATTAGGTATTATAGTTGCAAAGTATACAAAGTTTTGTGCAAAATGAAAACTTAATTTAAAATCTAAATATCTTTGAAGTTTAAAATAAACTTTTTAGCGAAAACTAAATTTGAGTATAATAAAGTGCAAGTTTTAAGCTACTGCACAATTGCGTTGATTTTTAATATTGTTTATGCTGACGGCTTTTTACACTTTCTCCTTATGGAAGAAAATGCGTAAAACCGTTTTCAAAGAAAATTAAAAAAAAGTAACGCCATTTTTGCAATCGCTTAAAACTTGTACTCTATTATACTAAAATTTAATGGGCTATAAAACTATATATTAAAAGAACATCTAAAAAAAGTTTAAACAATTTGAACATTACATTAAAAATGCTGCCCACTTTATTTCCAATAAGAAAACTATTAACTGA